AGGGCAGTCATCGTTCTCTTCCTCTGTTTCTTTTTTATTTGCACAATTTGAGCAACGACATAAGTCTGTGCAACAGAGTCCTGCAGAGAAGCATGAACATCTGCCTTTCTCACAGGCAGACTCTTTGCAGCTGCAGTGTATCACATGCAACACACTGTCAGGGGCAGGATTTCTTGTCATCCAGGTGACGTGTAAGTTCCCATCCTCTATTTCCCAACCATATCCAGCAGGTGATGGAGCATTCATTTCTCTTTTGAGACAGGACCTCATTATTGCTGCCTGGTAATTTGCCCTTTTGCAGTGCTGATGGAGGGCATCATGAGTAGGGGGAATGCTTAATTCTGGCAAGGCCGATGATGCCATACAGAAAGCCTTGTACCTAGCATCATTTACATGTTCGGCTGCTGGCTGATCATACAGGTGACATACATACCGGCAAAGAAGTGCAAATGTTGATTGCTCCAAGTCAAAGTTAGTACCTAAACTTCTGAAAGCCTTAAGATAGTCATCTTTCTCACATGCAACAGCAAATGACTTTATTTTGCCTTTGCCATAGAAAGCGCTTGTGGAGTCACACCCAGAGAACGTGTGAATTCCAATCAAGGCTGAACACACACTGGTTCCGAGAGCTGATGACACCATGGCAATGTCAATGATCCGTGTCCTGTTGCCAGTCCCTGTGAACACATATAAGCTGCATGGCAAATCTGCCTGCAGACTTACAGCAATGACTGCCACATCAGTGTCCGAGCTCTTGATGATGACAGCTTTGTGCTCCTGTGCAGCATGTTGGGCATGTAAAAACACCCGTGTGTCACATTCCTCATGATCACACTGCAGGTCTTCAACAACATCAACAGACTGTACACCCTCCATGACAGTTACACAGTGGCATTGATTTTGATGGGCAATGTACAAGCTGAGGTTTTTACCCACTGTTGTGAGGTCTGCATGTGTCCATGCCACATAAAGGAATTCGGCCAGTGCTTCCTTATTTTTTCCGTCAGAGAGAAACTTCTTCCACTGGGTTGGAGTTCTCTGATCTGGGCTGAAGATCGTTATTAGTTGTGACCCTGCATTAGCTCTACGGGACCGTTCTAGGCTTTTGATGCTGATGGGTGGATACCGGTCAGTGACAAAATCAATGCGTGTACACTTGTGATGCAAAGCAAGTTGGAGTATGCTCTGCAGTATGGTCTCTGCAAGCTCTCCAAATGTTGCTGGTCTGGATGGCATGGCCTGCATGACTGCCATGCCATCAAAAAGAATGGCACCACCTATTGGAACTTTGTCAACCAAGCACTCTCCACCTTTGCTCTGCAATAGATCCATGAGAGCTGATTTGTTTGTTTTGGCAAGTGAACCATCAGCACTTGCTAATGGATATGACACAGTTCCCAAGGAATATGACAGAATTTCCCTCATTTCAATTTTCCTGCTCTGGCCAAGGATGAGGAGCCTGGAAAATAACTTCTTGTCAGCACGCAAAATCACTTCCTTGCCTGCTGGTCAACACTTTGGTCATCTTTCTTCTCAGCAGCTTTCTGCAATTTGCCTAAACGGAAAAAAAGGACAACTCAATGAGTTTGTTGACGTATCTCTCACACATAATTGTACCTTTCAGTTATTCAACCACAGAGAATGTGTGTGTGTGTGTGTGTGTAGTGTGTGTGTGGGTGGGGGAGGGGGTTTGCTTACCTGCTTTTAATGTTTCAGCCTTACACAGTTGATCCCTTTGTCGCTTGCCTGCTTTGATGATCATTTTCTCCTTCATCTTGCATATAATGCACAGGGCAGGAAGGACGGGGCCAGAGCCTGCGATTGGCAGGCCTGACCTTGATCGTAGCTTCTCTGTTTGGCTTCGGTACGTGCTGCGAGACGTCGATGGGATGGGCTCGACCTCAAGGTCCTCCCTAACGTCTTGATCTCCCTCACGTGCGAGCCGTCTTTCCACCTTCGTCATGGCCTTTGTGTCGGTAAACCTTATGTAGCATGTGTGGTGGAAGCCAGCGTCCTCAGGAATATCTTCGAACTCGAAATCAAGACAGTGCTTGTGGTTTTCAGCCACCACGTTCCGAGAGTCTCCCTTCAAGCCGAGCGACCGTTGTAAGCTTGTCCTGTACGTATTCCATCTTGTATTGGTAAAACAATCAACCTTTTCGTGCTTCACAGACGTAATATGCATGTAACAATGTTTGTGTGTTGACAATTTTGACTTTTTGAGACTTTCTGGTGCGTTTTCCTCGTCTCCGCTACTCGATGAAACCATGGCGGCCGCCATCTTTCACTTCTGTTGACAATATGCAGCTACCCAATTGGTGTAGCACGATCACGTGATGAACCGTGGCACGACTTTGGACCAAGATATTATTACGCTTCGAAGGGAATAGTTCAGCCAATAATTACGTGCCTAGAAGAATTGGCAGGAATTTTAGCGACGAAAATTTTTTTGGTGGATAAGCATGAATCGTTCTTTTTTATGAACTAAAGATTGTGTAGTTTCACTTCTGTGGAGCGGGATTTCTTTTCTAAAGGACTTTTCGAGGTTCACCTTGCGGCCTATAACTGTTTATTACTGTCTTGAATACAATGTTTTTACAAGTAATACATTACTGATTGCACAATGAAAATGCAAACGTAGGCTACTACTCAACAGCAATAGTAGGTATCTATAATAGTTAGTTAAAACACTTGTGAGTTTTGTGACTCAGTCCCTTTGCTCAAAGGTATATTTAAACAACTCAAAGCCCTACACACCCATGTCACACCTTGTTTTCATGTTGTGTGATATAGACATCAATACTGACAGTCAACAGCTAGCTTAAACGTTAGCCTCAGTGACTACAGCTCTGCACAGGTCTCGAACCTCGCTGTGAAGTCCTGGGGTTTAATCACTAACTCCAATTCCTCAATGTAAGTCAATACATTACTAATGTTAGCAAACCAGCTAGCGATACAATTAAGACAACTTAAGAGATACTGTGAGTTGTATTTGCTTGTTTTCTGGTAGGGGCTTGCTTACGAACCAGCGCTACGAGCTAGCTTCTGCAGTAGTATAAGGCCTACCACATGTATACTGGTTGTAGTGTTTTCTATGTGTTTAAGCATTTCATCCACACAAAAATGGAATTTAAGAATAGTTTTTTCTTTGGCTTGTTAGTTACGTGTGCAGCATTATCTTCTTATTAAGGCATCTCAAATTAAGTACATCTCATGCAGACGGCAGACATTGCCAAAACAGTGCTGACGTTTGGCCGAGACTTGGTATCAATCCTTCCTTTACAGTTACAGTAAAACAGTGAACAAACTCTAACAAAAAGTAACGGAGGATAAGTAACTGTTTTTTAACTAAAATTCAAATTAATGATATCCCCCTTCATATTTTTAACATGGTTTCTATGTAGGTTACTTTATGGTGAATATGCCCTCGAGTTTGTGTGTGGCAGACTACAGTACAGATAGCAGAACAACTGGGGATGGTGTTTAATTAAATATGTATATGATAATGTGCGCTGTGTAGTGCGTTTCTGTGGTTAGCCTATATATGAACTCCTGTGTATTGTGTACAGTGTTCTTAATTTATATTGAATTGTTTTTCCTTTTTCGTTGCATTGACCTGAAATTGAATTTTAACTATTTCTGAGTGGCTGACATTCACAGGAAATATCTTGCATCTTTCGTAGCAGTTCTGTCCACATATACTGCAATTACTGCACATAACCAGATTGTTTGCTGAGAAATGGAGCATGACTCACCAGGAAATGTATTTAAAAGGTTGCCTGGTTGAGAAATTGCAGTGTTTATCAAACACAACATATGCACAGGACTTCATGACGGGTGTGGAGGTCTCATTTCATTAAGGAGAAATCAGTTGGAAGTAAACAACAATATTTAATCTCAGGTTGACAACTAGAGGGACTCTGACAATAATGCTTGAGTGACTTAAGGGGGTCTGGAAACTCTCAATTAAATCTACCAAAACATTGTCAAGACAGTGATGATGATGAGGAAGGTGTCAACTGAAGGTAAGGAGAAATAAGCCAAAGAGAAATGTAGGCAGAATTTTTGCCGACTTCAATTTTCAGAACCGGAGGTTGGAGCCAGAGTGCGTAAAAGCTGCTTATGTGTGCATACTGACATTAGTGTTAATTGGCAGCTTAACAAGTTGTTAACTGACAAGATGTGGCCAACAATATAGAAGTGTGTGTGTGTGTATGTGTGTGTGTCTAGTGCTGAGTAAACACAACAAGGGCGAACAGACGATTTCCCTCTGAATCAATCAATCCTGCTTAACTGAGCACAGCATCACCTCCATCAGCAGGTTATAGGAAACACATTCACACGCACACCCCAACACACACATGATCTAATGACTTGAGGTGAACTGTGATGCATATAAAATGACAAAAGGGCAATCTCAGGAATATTGAATATTAAATCAATAGGTTGGGAAGGTGAGAATGGAAGTTTGGTGATTGGATGGTCAAACGCGCAGCATACATGCAATGTATATTTAATTTATGTGTGTTTGTGTTTTTTGGTGTATGTGTATGTGTCAATGCAAACATAGTAGCACCTTATTTACTCCTGGTGTTTACCTGGGTTGTGTTGTGGTCAGCTTCACACTTACTATAGACTTAAACATGAGAATGCTTGTGTGTCTGTATGTGATGAGTAGTTATTGACTGAGGAGCAGGTAATAAATGAGTGATTATTGATCTCTCTATGTCTGCTCTGTGTTTATAAACTGTATGGACTTTATTTACTGACATGTTAGGAGGCTGGAATATGACCTCAGGAAATAGTGTTGCCAAGAGACCTATAACTAATGGAAATATTACCCAAGAGGGGAATGTTTGCTGAGAAATGACACAATGATGCATCTGGGAGGTTTAAGTGATTAATCATGGATGGAGAAAAAGTAGTGAATTTTTACTTTCAACTAAATCACATCATTGATTTACATGTTCATGTGTTTCGTTCCTTCTTCTGCCTTACAGAGAGACACCAAAGGCCAGTTCCTGTTGGACCATGTGTGTAACCACTACAACCTGCTTGAGAGAGACTACTTTGGTATTCGATATGTGGACCCTGAGAAACAGAGGGTAACGATCAAAAACACAAACCTTTTTTAATTGATGAACCGATTTGTTTGATGACAGTAAAATAATTGTCAACTATTTTGATAATCGTTAATTGTAAAAGTATTTTTTTTCTCTCAATTCAATAATTTCTGTCTATTATTTGTTTTATATCATATTAAGGATTTTTGAATATCTTTAGGTTTCAAACTGACAAATTATTAATCGATAAACTGAGTAAGAATTCTCAATATTAAGCAACAATGGAAATGAACATTAGTTGCAGTTCTGATTAATGTATTTGTTGCAATGACTTTTAACTGCTGGTTTTGTACATCTAATAATCCAAAACATAAAAATGTGTGGTTTCAAATGAGAGAAACAGAGAGAAAGAGTGAATACTCACATAAAGTACATTTTATACAATGTATTTACTTTTTTTACGTCAGCACATCGTATGACAAGTATAGCAAAAAAACAAATAAAAAAAGAATAATTTCTCTGAATAAAAGTTGCAAGGTCCAAAAACATTACATTTGTCATTTTGCTTAGGTGGATTGTGTCATATAATTAATCACAATAATAACAAGATATTAAAGATATTAAAATATATTTTTATATTTGAAATTGTTTGTTTGTAGCCTTTATTTAACCAGGTGAAAGCCCCTTGAGATCAAAAGATCTCTTTTTCAAGGGTGACCTGCAGCTAACTATACTCTTTTTAACTGCTCTGCTCTTGGTATCTGTATGTCTCTCGATATCTCTCTATCTCTCTCACTTTCTCAGCACTGGCTGGAGCCCAATAAGCCCGTGGTGAGGCAGATGAAGTGTAAGTGTCACATCTGCTCCCTCTGTGTTTTTCCCTTGCGTTTTGCATCAGAGTGTGTGTACATAAATATGAGTTTGAAATGCGTGTGTGTGTTTGTGTGTGTTTGTTTATGCAAACCTTCCTGAGAGCAGCTTCAGTGCAAGGAGGTCGAACTCCACAACAAACATACAACACCACAGGGATCAAGCCTCTGGATGTTTATAGAGTGGCGAAGTCACGCCCATCTACTTCCGATCCATGGGACCTTATTTCGGAAAAATTATGTATTGAAGTCAATGGAGAGAGAAAACGTACTGTATCTTTCGATCCCGTTTGAATTGTGCCACAAATTACACATATGATGTTTGTCAATCTTAACAAATAATTTCCATGTAAAAAAAGTCACAGTTTGCCGTAAAACTGTTGAAATATAAGACTATGAAAAATCCGCAACTAGAAAGACTACAAATCCCAGAGTCGCGTAAGTGATGTCATAACTGATGTCACAATTGTTTTCCTCCACCAAATAAGAGATAGCTAAGATAAGATAAGATCACTTTAACAAGATGCCTGTGTGCTTAGTACTAGGTTGTTATCATACCAGCAATGGGTCTTGCTCGTTCTTTCGCTTCATGCATTTTCATAATTGTATTTAGGAAATGGACTCTTATACAAGTTTTAGTGCCTTACCACCCACTTTATCCCCAGGACAGATTGCTCACAATACCACTTGAGCAATGAGCAGTGACAGTCAGATACCACAGGTAATAAATAGAGACACACAACAAAGATAAAGTGACACAACACACTGCCAGAGGAACAAGTGTCCCAGAAAAGAAATAAACTCACAGACAAGTAAGGGAAATACACAGGCATGGCAGAGCAGCATGAGCCTGATCTCTGGCACAGACCGGCTTCAGAGGACAGTTTCATAGATCAGGCGTCGTTTCAGCTTCACACAGCGACATAGACTGATTGTTCTTGACCATCACTAATGAAAGGTTGCAGATTTGATCTGAGCCCCAGTAAATTGCTTTGCTTGTCCAGAGGTGTTTATGCACTCATTTTAAATGCCAATTAATTAGGTTTTATCAGTGGTTATCACTACCGTTGTTTAAAGTGAAAGTGTAACTGTACTTTGTAAACACAAAGACAATGTTGGTCCTGTGTTTTGCTCTACTTGAGTATTTTGAATTTTATGTAACATTATATTTCCTTTCCGCTACAGTTCATATGCAAATATTGTACTTTTTACTACATTAATTGACAGCTTGCAAATTCAGACTTTTAAAATATGAAATATAGACCAACAAAAATGAATGGTATATTATATAAAATATATATGTATATAAGATTGACTGTTCTGCATGATAATTACTTAAACTTCGTCGAATGTATGTAAGATAATTTACTGTAAAAAAATGTGTACTTTTTCTTAAACCTTAAATATTTTAAATACAATACATTACACTGCAGTATTGCTACTTTCCCTCGAGTTCAGGATCTTTACTTATATGTTCTGACTGTGGCACAAGGAAAGAGACAGCAATCAGTGCAGTTTCAAAAATGCAGATGCAAGATCACGTTGCAGTGAATTGTGACATAACTTCATTTTTGGAAATAAATGTTTTATTCTTCTCCTGGTAAGGAGTATTTAAAGGAACAAGGGAATCTGAGTCTGCCTTTGCTTCATAAAATGTTTAAACCCATTTCGCTTTGTCAGCCACTTTTTCCACACAGATCTGGCAGAAAAAATCATGAAGCAAACATTTTGTTGTGATTACCATGCACCTTGGTGTCCTTTACCTCTTCTTGCTCTTGTTTACATCTCTATATAGTCGGGAAGATATTGTCTTTCATTCTGATAGACTGATGCCAAATCCTGATTCACTTCTGATGCTTTGCTGCAGAGTGTCCCAGTGTGATGTTTGCATACATTTGACCAATGTGCCATTAGCAAAACTTGTCTGTAGTTCACCCACCCTTTTAATAACTGTCCTGTTCTCTCCATCTCGCTATAAATTAATAAAGCAGCTATTAGCGGTGCGTTATGCTTCATCAGAACTTGTGCGAGAGGGCAAGGGGGAGAGGGTGAGGAGACCAGCGGAAATTTGACTGAGAGACGGAGAAGGAGGAAGAGAGAAAGAGGGGGGAAAGAGTGATGAAGAGGAAATGTGCAGGGGGCTAATTCAGAGGGGAGAGAGAGGAGACAGTGATAGATAATGAAGCTAAAGAAAGAAGTCAGATCAGGGAGGAAAAGAGGAGATTTGTGAGACAGTTTGAGATGAGAGGCTGACAGAGAGTGAAAGAAAGGAAAATAGATGAGACGGAGGGATTGAGGACGCGAGGTTCATAGATCTGAGTCGTATTGACACATCACTTCTCCCTGTGGCAGCATTTACGATCAAATTAGGATGTGTGGCTTGTAATTTATTTTCTCTCTGCGCGTCTACGCTTACGTGCATATGCGTCACATCGTGTGTGAGCATACTATTGTGCCAATTCACTTCCCCTGAAATGTTTTTTTAAAAGCATCTTGGTCCCTTAAGCCTGCGCAAAAAGCAGCTACAATTCTTTGAGCAATTCATATTGCTCAGCATGTATTATGTAGATGTGTGCTGTTTTCCATTGCTAGATAATACCGCAGAGGATCCCACCATTGAAGTCAGAGTGGTGAGGACACTCAGTAAAGATCTTTGCTCCCATGTTAGATGATACTCAGTTTCCTCTTATTTCCTTCTTTTGTTCTTTGTACATCCTTCTTTTTTTGCTTTCTACCCCAAAACGACGTTGCTCTATCAAAGCCTTAGGATTTGATATTATTTCCCCAAAACTTATTTCTGAAAGATTTTCCCAAATACCCTTTTATTCCATTACTTCACTGTATTAGTTGCATATCATACAACTGTGAAAAACACATAGCACTATTATTACTTTACATGTTCAGCAGAATATCAGTAAGGTTAACAAACCCCTTTTCCCCACTCTCAACAGGAAGTGTAAATGTCTGTGCATCATGCACATTTAGCAAACTTCAAGGGGTACACTTTGAATTTTGCACGTTTGTGCATGAATGTGTTTTTATATGCAACTCTTTCTCTGATCAGTGAGACACCAGAGGGGAGTTTAAGCTGCTGCTGCTGTCGTTTAATCCGAGCCCGGCATCACTGACTTTGTGTGTGTGTTTGTGTGTGTGAATGTACGTAAGTGTGTGTATGTATGTACCCGTGCACATTCAAATATCATTCTAACACACACACACACACACACACACACACACACACACACACAATCAGAAATGAAAGGCTTTAGGACTCCATTAAAAGGAAAAGAAACAGAGCACCGATTAATTGAGGCCCTTTTCATGTGAACGTGTGTGTGTGTGTGTGTGTGTGTGTGTGTGTGTGTGTGTGTGTGTGTGTGTGTGTGTGTGTGTGTGAGTGTGTGTGTGTGTGTGTTTGTGATGAGTAATTACTGTAATTATCAAATGACTAATCAGTATTAGAGGCATACTCTGATTTCATTTTTAGGTCTCCAACTTATTGTTCTCCTCAGTTTTGTGTAATCCTCATTGCTCTGTTTCTGTCTTGCACTCATTCATGATCTCTGCCTTTTCTTCTGCCCTCTCCTCTCATAGTTCATTTGTTTTCTTGTCTTCAGCAGCCCATCAGCCATACACGATGTGTTTCCGGCTCAAGTTTTATCCCAACGAGCCAATGAAAATAAGAGAGGAACTCACCAGGTAAATAAAGTGCCTCGCTCTCTTTCCCTTGTTTGAGAGCAGCCTTGTTAAATTTATATTAACTACCATTTCAGCTCAGTGTTAATAGCTTGATGATAGTTTGAGGGCTCATTAATGACTGATTCTTTCTAGGTCCTTTGCAAGCATGTTAAAAAAACATGTGTTCAGTAATAGCATCCTATTCTTATTTTTGGAAAAGTATTTATTTGAAATTCATCATTTTCATATTATCACTCTAACTGCAAGTGGCACTGTACACACTTACAACGAAAATGTTTACAGTATGTTTGATAATCACTTTACAGCCTGGCTCTACCAATGGTTTATTTTTATTTACATTTGTTTTCTTTTTTTTCAATTGAGCAAGGGAAGCTTTCACCTTCCTTTTACAATAAAAAAACAAACAAAGGAATAAAAACAAAGCTGTGAGATTATGTTTTCATTAATTAATTTGTTTTATTTCAAAGTAAGTATAAGTCTCTTATTTATTCAATGTTTACTAAAACAACCTTTGGGAGATTTTTGATGTAGTACAACTGAACGTTTTTACAAACCCTCCTCCTCCCTAATGTACACACACACACACACACACACACACACACACACACACACACACACACACACACACACACACACACACACACACACACACACTCTAAGGCAGGGTGATCATGAGAGATGCTCACTCATCTGAGCCATCATGTCTCACCATCTCTCTCTTCTGTTTCTCCATCCCTGCTTTTCCATCTTTATATTTCTCATCCATATCCCTCCACTCCTCATCATTTCTTCCCTAAGGTGTCTCCTCCCTCCCTTCTGTCACTCTCTCTCTGTCCTCCTTCTTCCTCCCTGTATCACAGCACTCACATCTCTCAACTCATTTTGGCATATCTCCCTGTTCCCCTCAGCTTTTATTACCTAAATGTGTTTTTGGACATCATCAATGTCATTAAATTGTTCCTCACTGTTTCTCAGCTTCCTCCTTCCTTGGGATGTCCTTCAGTTTAGGAAACGTCTTTCTAGATTTTTCATTCGTCATGCTTTTTTACTCCACGGTCCTTGCGTTTTTGAAATACTGTTTATTCATGTGTCTATTTATTTTCAAAGCTAGTGTTAGAAAAAACAACTACAAACTCTTCTCTGAGTCCTCAAGGAGCACCAGTACTCTACATCGCTGCTGGTGAATTCAGAGTAGACATAAAAGTTAAAGTCGAGCTGAGTTTGGAAAGTTCACAAGGAACTGCCGTCAGTGATTACATCCAATGAAGTGCCCAATATCAAGCTCTTTTTGGATTTATTTGTCATCATACAGGACGGGTGGCGCAGTGGTCTGTGCATCTGATCAGCAGATCAAGGGGGGTGCTGGGAAACTCCAGTGCGAAACCCGCTCCTGCCGCCACTGCGTCAGGCCGTTGTGTCCTTGGGCAAGACACTTCACCCGGATTTGCTCCTGTGGGTATTGTCCACAGTACATGTATGATACTAATGTGTACTTGTAAAAGCGCCTCGATGACTTCGAGGCGTGAAGATGGACGGTGTTGCGCAGTGCGCTGTGCAATGATCATCAGATCAAGGGGTGAAACCCGCCGTCACTGTGTCTGTAAAAGCCGTTGTGTCCTTGGGCAAGACACTTCACCTGAACTTGCTCCTGTGGGTATTGTCCACAGTGGTGACCATTGCATGTATGATATGTGTAATGTGTATTTGTAAAGCGCTTTGAGCATCTGGAAAAGCGCTATAATAAATGTAAGGAATTATTATTATCATCAAAATCCCCAAAACGATTATGCTAATGTGTGTGTGTGCTGCATATGTACTCCAATTAACAGGATGTTATTTGAAGTCTGCCATTTTCATGCTCAACTTTTCCAACCAGACATTAAGAAACAACCCAGTATTCATATGACTAGGCAAGGGAAGGCAAGGCAAGTTTATTTATATAGCACCTTTCAACACAAGGCAATTCAAGGTGCTTTACAAAAATGAAAGACATTCAGACAAAGGCATTTAAAAACAGTCATTAAAACACATCCATATCAGGGGATTCTGCAATGCAGAGAGTTGTATATACATACGCTCATACATACTTACATACATACATACATACTTTCATTCATACATACATACATACATACTTACATTCATACTTACATACATACATACATACATACATACATACATACATACATACATACATACATACATACATACATACATACTTTCATACATACATACATACATACATACATACATACATACTTTCATTCATACATACATACATACATACATACATACATACATACATACATACATACATTCATACATACATACATACATACATACATACATACATTCTGTATAAAGTGTAAGAGTTGGGCAGGATGGGGTGATAAATGAATGCAGTTCAGTAATCATCACAGACTTACAAATAAAGTTTCAATTGGTATTAACCATAACCACAATCTTTCTGGAACATTCACCAAACCATATTTTCCATGTTAAGAGTGTAGACTTTATTTTGTATTATTTAATTTGCATGAATTTAACTTGCTTCCTGATATTATGGAGTGCAGTCAAAGCACTGCTGACCTACATAGAATTAAACCATGCAGTGAAATGGGGAAACAAATTGGGAGTGAGAGACGAAGACACAAAAGACGAAAGGGAGAAATGTTTTTTTCTATGTAAAAAAAGTAATACGTTTTTTATAAGAGCAATTGGTCCAATCTTTAACCATGCTATGTCTAAAATTGTATAGATAAAAAAAATAAAGTCTACTGGCGATAAAATAATAAGATAAAGAGATGTTAAAATAAAACACAGAGGTGTTTCAGATTAATGACTTCCTATTATATAAAACAAGGAAAGAGTAAAAGATCAAAACAAGATTTCAGGAAAGGAAATATATGTGGAGAAGAATGAGAGTGGAGGAATCTCTGCATGAGACGAAGAAGAAAATAAAGAACGTTATATCAAACACAACTGAAAAGGTCATATAAATAAAGATTTAAAGTGCTAGACCGACTCTATAAATAAAACTATTTAGCTAAAGCAGCTAGCTTTTCACTCCATTCAATCTTCCATGCTCTCCATCTGCTGCTCAATTCAGAAACCAAGTTTGATTCAGCTGACTGTGAAAACTCATCTGGCAACGTGTTTCATTATAAGTTCAGCACCACTGTCGCTTCTTGTCCCCTTGGTAATGCGAGACAAGTCAGCAGCAAGCCTTAACTTGCCTGCATTTAAGCCGTTTCCATAGTAACGACAATACCATACGGTAGTTGTTACTAGAGCGATGCTCTCTCTAACTGCCGTAGTAACAGAGCTATTTTGTGTGTGTGTGTGTGTGTGTGTGTGTTTCCAGGTATCTGCTGTACCTCCAGCTAAAGAGAGATATATACCACGGCCGTCTCCTCTGCCCTTTTGCTGAAGCTGCATATCTGGGAGCCTGCATCATACAGGGTGAGGCAGCCATTAGATTTAGTTTACATCTATTGACAGTAAATCCACATATGATTTTCCATGTTACAGTTTGATCACGTTTTAGGGTGGGATATCTAGACAATATTTCCTTAATGTCTTTTACACTTCCATCACGTAAAAAACTGGCAAGTTAATGTTAGCTTTTTGGGCGTTAAATATCTAGTAGCAATCAACCAATCAATCAACGTTTATTTATATAGCCCAATATCACACATTTTACATTTTTCTATGGGGGCCCTCATCCTTAGACCCTCACATCTGATAAGGAAAAACACCCAAAGAAATCCCACAACCCGCAACTATTTTCTACGTAAGGACTAGTTTGTGTATGAAACCTGCTAATAATGTGTAATGTAAATCTCCACTTAGTTAACACTCGTCTTAACTAGGCTATATCTGTAGGAAGAGCTCCATTCGTCTCATTAACCTGCTACATTTCAAGTCATCAGCCTTTTGTTGAAATCCGACTCTTGAGGATTTATTTGAGCTTTTAAGTTAATTATTAGCAATGTTAAATCACAGTGTGGAGACACTTGCTTTAATAAGGATTAAGGGTGGAATTAACTGTATCATAAACGAACCCCTCTGGAAGATGCACACATCTCTGCTCTGAGCTAACTCTGATTGGTTCATATCCCCAGAGAGAGCAGTATGAGTGGCTGAGTAATCTCCACAGTGAGTCTGCAGCGTATCATTGGCTGCTCCGATTAACAGAGGCAGGTCCCTCCCTGTCAGGGTGATGATAACAGAGCCTCAGAATAGGTTGAGGATTACTGTATAATTAAACTCCAGGCAAGTTTCCTATTTAACCTTTATTGTTACTGCTAATTAAGAACGGATTAAAAAGAGAAATTGGTGTCTGTTGGGGCTTTGTACTTGATTCAATGAGGAAAATATGTATCTATTAGGGTTATCTCAGCTCCCTACAGCCATGCAACCTTTAAAATGAAATCACTACCCTACATAAATGTCCCAATATGCAAGGTTAATGGACTCTATTTTATATGATGCTGAATTGCTAGCGTTTAAAAATGTGTATTATTCCTTTGAAACACATGTACACATTTTCCTAACTGCACTCTTTTTTAGACGGTTGTCACACAGATATAATCTCTGTCTTTAGCTGAGCTTGGGGACTACGACCCAGAAGAGCACCCGTCAGACTACATCAGAGACTTCAAGCTGTTCCCTAAACAGTCCCTGAAACTGGAGAGGAAGATTATGGAGATACACAAGAATGAGCTCAGGTAAAACAGATATGTGTGTGTGTGTGTGTGTGTGTGTGTGTGTGTGTGTGTGTGTGTGTGTGTGTGTGTGTGTGTGTGTGTGTGTGTGTGTGTGTGTGTGTGTGTGTGTGTGTGTGTGTGTGTGTGTGTGTGTGTGTGTGTGTGTGTGTGTGTGTGTGTGTGTGTGTATTTGTGTGTGTCGCCTGGGTGAGCTTGTTTGTTTTCTGGAGCTGCGTCTTTGTGATCAGTTTACTGTTTGATTGTGATGACATGCGTGGATGCTCACTCCTGTGATCTGTGTTTTCAAAACAGGCTGTGAAGACAATTGTCCACTGCAAACAAAAAAGCGTTTTCTGTTGTTCTGGGTAGAGACCAAATGTGATGATGTCTAGAGATTTGTGGTGCATTGTATTGCAGTTGGTTATTTCAGTTGTAAGTAAATAAAAACTTTTAGAAATGAATTTTCAGGGCAATGTGCATGTTTTATTCATTCCTGTCGTAGTTTGACACAGTGCTTGCTACTACAAGATCTTCAGAATCTTCTTCAGAACATTGGGTTGAAATTCAATATACTGTAACAGGTTGGATGAAGTAATCAGGCCCTGCTTTTGTCTATAAACCCTGGCATGTTCTCTGCTTGTTTACAGAACATTGTTGATGTAGAATAAAATACAACACGAGAAATAAACTGACTCAAAAGAGGAGATTAGTGCATGCAGATGTTGATTCAGAAATATAATGAAAAAAGTAAATGAAATTGAACTAATAAAGCAGGAAGAGGATATGTTCCTAAATATAAGATCAAATGATAAACAGAGGGAAGTTATGGCAAATAACAATAATGAGCTCAAGTAAAAAACAGATGTGTGTGTGTGTGTTGGTTTGCCCTCTGGGTGTTTATTTGTATCATAGCTGCAGCTCATAAGTGATGTTGTTAGGTTTATGACCGTCACACTTGCAGCGATTATAGAAACATCAAAGACAAATCCTTCATCTCCCACTGCGCACAAGCAGATGATGCCGAGTGCCCTCTGTCTGCCCGATGGCTCTGACAGAGAGGATTAACAGCATGTAGATTATTACTGAGCCGTAAAAAGACCCTTCAGGTGATTTACAAATGGGGCGGGATACGTCTACAATTTGTATTTTGAAGCAGTCATTTAATGGATTTAACATTTGACTTGATGTGCATAGACAGATGTGTGTGCGTTCAAGTATAATGTTGATTTATTTGTCTGGCGTCAGAGGATCACTCACTTTCTTGATCTTGCAAGATGGAGTTTTCCTCTTAGACAAATAAGCAGGTAAAGCTTCCCACTGAACACTGTTTATCTGTCTGTTACTGCAAAAGTATAACAGATTATGACCGGACCAAATGTAATAACTTTTAAATATTTGCTAATGTTTGTAATCCAAACAATATCTTTCCAAGGCACATTCGCATGTTCCCTCACTTTCTGTGAAGGAAGACATTTAATTCAAATCTCAGTCAACCCATAATGCTATTGTATGTACATAAAATAGTGAAAACATAGATCAACTCTACAGGGACATATGCTGACAACATGTGTCATGTGTTGAATTTTAAATAACCCTTTCCTCTTTTGTCCTCTCCTCTCTTTTAGGGGCCAGTGCACTTCGTTTGCAGAGCTGAACATGCTCCAAAGGGCTCACAGCCTCGAGACGTATGGAGTGGACCCTCACCCCTGCAAGGTAACCTTAGGGGGGTGCTTCCAGTCTGACTGTGAGGTCTGATGCTGTTGTTAGTGAAAAGACTCCACTGATTAAAGTAATGCAAATCTCTTTCTTAATATTGCCACACTTTAATATCCATTCCTCAGTACTTTACCCAATTATTGTTGCTTTTTTAAAATCTCACCACCTCGTGTGTCCATCTTTATCACATGTTGTTCACTGCTCCACTCTTTGTATGTGCATTTATACAATATACACAATTATTATCATTTTTATGTAATGATTTAAATACTTTACTATGGACAAAGGCATTGGGGCAGTTGCTGGTTTGCCTTTACATATTTAACTGAAACCTGTACTGTATACACATGATTCACTTTACCAACAGCCGGCTTTGAGAAAACCTGAGGTCACTAAGAGAGGAGTAATATTGGGTGAGACAGAGGTGAGGAGGAGTGAGGGAAGGTCGAGGTCAGCAGATAATTCCCATTTGCATCTCCTGCAACATTTCAACAAAAAGCAATCTGTTCTGCACAGAAACCATTACTCTCAGGAATCATTGATCGGATAACATCATGGATTCAGAAAATCAATGTCATCGACTCAATCGTAGTGTTAGTATTGTTTTCCATTTGACACTTTAATGTGCACCTTGCTTTACACTGTAATACTGTGACGGCTTGTAATTTTTTAATTATGTTCCTCGTCACCATTTTAAAGATAGAAAAGACTGAATCTGATAAAGAAATCCAGTATGTGGGATAACTAGAAACACACTGGAGGACAGGCGTATCAGAGCATGCTGAGCAGATTAACAAGATATTTAAAATCTGTCTATTGGAAAGGATCCTCTTCATCTGCCCTGCTCTGGTTAGTGGGGCTGTTTTAATTTGGTTTGCTGGAAATGGCTGTAGCATCATACATTTGCAGATCTGTCAAGATCAATAATCAGAGAAATGATTAGGAACTGAGAGGGAGAGAGAGATGTACAGAGATAGAGAGGCACAGCAGCAGAGGGACGTCTGATGAGGTGGAGTGACAGGAACATATTGTGTTCTGCTTTTGCTCCAATGTTGTTATCAGTTTCATTTCGCCTCACCATATCAAACCTGTATTTTCTGTGCCTTGGTTTTGACACAAGTTTCTGCAAAATTAGGGGGTTGAAGTTTGAAACATTACCATGGAGATTAATGATGGCTCACAAGCATCCCTGCTGTTAATCCACCTGTAATGCCGGTGTGTGTGTGTGTGTGTGTGTGTGTGTGTGTGTGGTGTGTGTGTGTGTGTGTGTGTGTGTGTGTGTGTGTGTGTGTGTGTGTGTGTGTGTGTGTGTGTGTGTGTGTGTGTGTGTGTGTGTGTGTGTGTGTGTGTGTGTGTGTGTGTGTGTGGGTTTGCAGGATTTCACAGGCTCCACAGCTTTTCTCGGGTTCACTGCCACAGGTTTTGTGGTCTTCCAGGGAAACAAGAGGATCCATCTCCTAAAATGGTAGATGTTTGTCCAAAACCCTGTTTATGAAATGTGTATTCTTCATCAAATATAATCATTACACACTCTTGGTCTTTGTTTGAATCTCAAATGGAAATGAATATCATATTTAATATAAGTCATTTAAAATGATGTTCTTTGACTTAAGTTATTATTGTTGTTCCATTGCAACATATGAAACAAATCTGTTTCAAAACTTCAGGATTTTAGGATTTAGCAAAGCACAAACAGTTAATCTCTGACAAATGAAATGTAATCATATTGCTCCAATTTAAATTATATCCTGAATACCAAGGCTATGTTTCTCAGTTATTATGTTAAAAGTATGTGTATGTTTTGGCCTAATTTGAACCCTGATCATGTTATTAATGATACCATGTCTTTTTTTGCAGGGCTGATGTTAGCAAGCTGAAGTTTGAAGGAAAAACCTTTTACGTCATTGGGATTCAGAAAGAGGTGAGTGTGTGTTCTTTCTTCTCTAAAGGGCAAAATCTATAATAAAATATGCTGTGTAGTTTCCTCCATCACGATGATGAATTGTGTAGTCCTGTAGTCATCTTCATGTAGTCAACCTTTAACATTTGTGTGGATCAGTACTTCTTGAAAAACAAAATATGACTATAATGCAGATGCACACTTACCATCTGTTTTGTCTGACTTGACCTTTCAAGTGTACTCTACATCCTTTATTCTCTCTCCTCCTTCCTTCTTTCTCTCCCTTTTCCTCATCTGTGTTGTGGTTACATCAGATAAATGAAACTGTATTGTTTGTCTATGTAATCCACCATCACACACACTGTATATGTGTGTGTGTGTGTCGCTGTTTCAGATCTCCTTAACAGGCAGGATGCACTGTGACAGAATGGTGGGTGTGTTACGACTAACCTCCTCTCTCTCATCATGTGTCCACTGTGACCCAAATATGAGACTCCTTCACTACACCCATGTCAAGATTTATGACAAGTACAAATGATGTGATAGTCACACAGAGAGCAAATGCTAGGTAAAATATGCTCAGTAACTACCAGTACAGGTTTCTTGCATTTGGGACACATTTTTCATCTGTTAATCCGATGTTTGTCATCCAGAGAGCTGTGGTAGATTTGGAGCAGCAGTGCTGGTGCATTATGTCTCATACATGTGGATAGCATCTTTATTTTTTTTTGCAAGAACTACAGCTTATTATGTCTCATATTGCTGTTTGACCCATACACTAATGATTCATCACTGTAGCTAAATCCAGGTTGCTCTTTAATCTACCAATCAGCCAATTCATATTCATATTCTTTTCATTACAGAAGCTTTAGCCTCTCATCTCTGCCTTACTTTGTTAGTCTGTCTCTCTGTCTGTTTGGCAACTCATGAATGGCTGAAGATGCAGTTATATCTTTGTGTTTCTGTCTTTTCTCTCTGTGTGTAAACATAGTCATCACTGGTGAGTAATTGCAAGTAATAATAGTAGCACTAAGCTATTTGATGCCTCTCACTACAATCCTGCCCTCACCTCACTAATGATTGGAAGAGCATTGTTCATTGTTTACTGTGTGCATTACCCGTTTGTGTCATTTTGTTTTGTATCACTTTGTACAAAGTTTTAATGTAGTTTCATGAAATGTATTTATTGTTTTTCGCTCATGCGTGCAAACGGTTATTTTGTCGCCGTCAACAAAAATATTCTGTTTTATGGTTGAAATTACATAACCATTTTTAATCCCTGTCTAAAGCCACATTATCAGAATAAGAATAAAAGCTCCATTATCAGTAATTTATAGATTATGCAATATTGATATGCATAATCTAAGTCTGTCCATGTCATGTATTTAATGTCAGACATTGATGTTAAACAAATGTTGATTTCTTCATTTCTGTGTTCCTATATCTATTTGTGTGAGTATATATAATGCTATATATCTACATGTTTCACTATATTTTCTCAGATAATAATTTGTGTATTGATGTTAAGTGTGTGACGGGTCACTGCATGGTTTCCCCTTCAACTCTGTTATTTATCCTGGAACACAATAACGTAACAGTCCCACTTTGAGCAAAATGCAACTTTCATGGCTTTGTTATTTTTAACCCTTGCTTGAAAAGCTCCTTATACATTGTATAATTTTTCAACGCTCCAATTTCTTTATTGGTTTTCCAGCTTAGAAATAAAATGGTAATAGTAAATGTTAATGGTTTAACATTACACCAGGGAGTAGCATTTGAAAAATAGCAAATTAGTGCATCAATTATTGTTTGAGATTTTGGTAACAGAAGATGCAGGTTATCCCTGTCATTGCTGTTGGTGCAAAAGCACTTGTTAGGAGCACTGAAATCATAAAATGTCATGTCATGCTGCAAAAGCACTTTGCACATCAGCCAAAGTAAGGCCAAAGACTATTGGTTAATAATATTCGGAGGTGCAGCTACTTTCACAAACCTACAGTATGACCACACACACCGATACTCACATACACACAAACACACACATTGCATCTGTGTGTAAATCACCACTACCTCCCTAATATAACTGATGTGGGGGGGGGGGGGGGGGTTGAGCAGTACGGCTGACTAAGCGGCTTTAGGAAAGGGAAGAAACAAATCAGAGCATTCCCGTGTTATTGATCTCAGTGTTCGCTCTCACTCTCCCTTTCACACTTTGTGGAGCAAATCCACCATCTGATCTGATATCTCATATTACCGCACACACAGGAATCAAAAAGAGACGTTTACAGGAATACATCCCTCCTCCTAGTCCATAAAGACCCCTATTCTGCAAGCTACAAGCTGTGTCTCTGCTAAACACTTTGGCCAAATCACTGTATCTGTCTTGCATCTTGCTAAGCTTTCAGCTTCAGGTCCGTGGGTCAGCGTTTTGCACAGCTCCCTCTCCTGGTTTTACCACTTCTCTTGCCCTTATTGACACGTCAATTAGTTATCTAATGTCTCATCCTAGCTGTGTGTGTGTGTGTCTCTCTCTCTCTCTCTCTCTCTCTCTCTCTCTCTCTCTCTCTCTCCTCTCTCTCTCTCTCTCTCTCTCTCTCTCTCTCTGTCTGTGTCCTTTTCTGTGCAGAAGAAACTGGTGCTGACATTTCACACCTCGACCCCTGCTGCGTGTAAGCACCTATGGAAGTGCGGGGTGGAGAACCAAGCCTTTTACAAGTGCGTACAAATTACACACACACACACACACACACACACACACACACACACCACACACACACACACACACACACACACACACACACACACACACACACACACACACACACACACACACACACACACACACACACACACACACACACATATACAACACATGCTCACACAGAGACACACACACACACACACACACCCACACACACACACACACACACACACACACACACACACACACACACACACACACACACACACACACACACACACACATACACACACACACACACACACACACACACACATATACAAACACATGCTCACACAGAGACACACACATATCCTCAATAAATGTATTGAGCTGCTCTTGACCTCAGAGACCTCTAAATCATTATTCAATCCCAAAATGTCCCTTCCGGCAAAGAAAAATAAAAGATGATATTTGTAGCAAAAAGACAAATATTCACCACAGTGGATATAATTAGCCTTCCTTCATGTTGTACTTGATTTTTTTTGCACATTATCACTCTTTTATAACGATTTGCCTCGCTGTGGCTCTGCTATGCTGTTGTCCTTCACTTGGGGAGCAGCTGATCGCTCCGAGGCCGACGCTCTGAGTTCACAGAGACTATTGACGCTGTTGGCGTGTCAGGAATGGAAACAGGCTCGGGGTGAAGGCAAATGTGAGAAAACAGAGACTTAACTTTGTCTGTTGTCATGGTTGTGACAAGGTTGTTTGCGAGCAAAATTAATGAGTTTGTTGCTTCGTTCAGGGTTCAGTAGGAATATCAGCAAAGTAATACATTGGACTTGATAGTCTTACAAAATCACATGAAGATTTTAGACTAGTGATCACACTCACACATACTTAGTAGCATAACAATTATCCCAACAGATTCATAAGATGTAAACTATCCCTACTCCTCCTCTGACAACTTTGAGAGATCAGACCATGTAACAGATCCCTGATATGTTTCGTCAAATGCTGCCTGTTCCCAAGGTCACAAATGAACTCTCAGTCTTTAAGCGTACAAGTAGATCTGACAAGATAAGGTTGATTAATTGATTAGTTAATCGACAGTAAATAAATCACCAACTATTTTGATCAATGTCCCATTTAACTAAATTCTCAATCATGAACATGAACATTACCTGTAAGAATGTTTTCCTTTTCCTGTCTCCTTCCTTTCACAGAAACCTGAATATTGTTGGGTTTTAAAACAGAAAATAAAAAGATTAATTGATAATGAAATAATCTTTAGTCTCAACCAGCAAGGAAAGAGAAATCTCTAAAGTGTAACATTTTAAACATCAGAAATCCCTTTGACAGCAGGCCGAGTCGATCTGCTGTGGAGAATTGTGTGATAAAAACAAAACATCTAAAACAGTGGATAGTGTTTGTTCCCTAAAAATATGTATTCAAAAACTGAGAGTAACTCATGTGAGACCAGAGGAATATTGAGATCATAGAGAGAGGAAACAAGAAAGTAAGGGGCAAGATGAGGAGGGCTGCTGGCTATAGACAGCTGGCCAGATGTAATGTGGAGAAGTAAGGTCAGAGGAAACAACGTTTGCAAAGATTTGACGCTTAATTGGAGGCTGATTTGTGACCCTGGGCCCCCATTTAACCATCCCTCTGTATTGACTTATTTTTGTAGTCCTCATTCCCACATAAACCTTTAGTTATTTCTCTTTTACATATATTTCCTTAAGACTTTTCTTTGCTGTCGGTTTGCATGTGTCGCAACGGTGACCTATTTACAAAAGCTTACAGAGGAAAAACATAATTATAAAGTCATTAAAGTGTTCTCATAACAGCTCTTGCCTGTAAAACCCTGGATATTGACTTCTTAACGACAGCAGCTCATGTGTCTCTGAGAAGAGGACAGAGGGGGGGGGGGCATGTCATCTCGGATGTCGGACAAGCAGCATCAGAGCCGCTTAGTTAAATCAGAGTGAATTGAGTTTGTAAATGGCAGCCAAGCCACACATACACATACACATACACACACACACACACACACACACACACACACACACACACACACACACACACACACACACACACACACACACACACACACACACACACACACACACACACACACACAATCTCTGCTGTATGATACATGATCCTGTCTCCGAACATGAAGGCTGACTTTTTGAGATGGTACACCTTGAACCACTCTCCTCTTCTGCTTACTGCAAGGCTGTTCTGAGCCAACGGTTAATGTTCTAGTCACAAACAAAATCCCATACATTTTTTGACAGGGATGAGTTATTCCTGAGTCTGTGCCTTAATTGCCATAATGAAGTGATTTGTTTGCATCTCTTTATTTCGTCTTCCCTCTCTCTGACAGGTGTGCAAAGTCGAGTCAGATAAAGACAGTTTCCAGCAGTAACATATTCTTCAAAGGCAGCAGGTTCAGATACAGGTGAGATCCGATTCAAGTTTTCATGAGAGAAAATACAATTACAACATTTTGACAACAAAATATGTGTTTTAAAGGGAAATAAGATGGATCCATACATTATGTGCAAAGAGAGTTGGAAACAAGAGAGAAATAAAAAAGGAACCAGAGAGAGTAGGTTATGAAGGAATATAGGGGGAGTCCTAAACAAATCTAAGTTACCTGTATTGTCAACTGTTCAACTACTCCCTCACTCTACAAATAAACTTTCACTGTAGATAAAATAGTTGGACATTTGCAATGAGAATTGTGTGATTTAGTCCATTGACTTAAGTCCATTACCATGGCTCCAACCTGAGAGATGTGTGTGTGATTTACCTTGAGTCGCTCCACATGCGGCCTCTCCTCTTTGCACATCAGCACTTTCATCCAGCTTGTTGTTATCCTCTGTGATTTACTGACCCTAATATCACAGGAAAGCCTCTACATAAGTCTGTTATTGAAGCCATGTTAGCTCCAATTCTCCTCTCAGACAAAGCTCTTTACCAGGCTTACACTTCAGTCTGCCCCATTTCATCAGCTGGCTAAAGCAGTTTGGCTAAAGGGCTCAATGATGAGTAATAGCATATGTTGGAGGTTTGTCTGAAATATGGCAATTGGTCATTTGTGCAAATGCTAAGAGGAAAGAGATTTGTGGTCCACAAAAAGTGGTGGTTTCCATAAAGCAGAGCTGATCTTTATTCCTGTCGATTATATAGCTTTTTTACTAGCATAGCTCCACATTTGCCATCACACAGAATTGATGTGACTCTCCACTTGTACTATCAAGGGGGTGTCTACCACTCCAGATGTTAAATCTAACCCTCTAATTTATCACCTAACCATCAATCTCAGCAACAATAGACTAATGGGTGGGATGGTGGAGCCTGCTGGCTTCAAACAGAGCGGTCAGAGTCGCCCAGCCCTCAGACTAATGGAGCTCCTGACCCGGCCAGCAGGAAGCTCCCACTCAGCAGCTCAGAAACAGCTCTCATTATGAGCAACTGCTGCCAAATACAGATGAAACATGACACTTCTGATGCAGTCAAATCAGTCAGACTCTCTTATTTCCAACTTTTAGTTTAGATTACTGAATTAAAATGTTAATTAAGTAGAAGTCCAGAAGTAGTATCAGCCAAATCTACTCCAAGTATGATAAGTAAAAGTACTCAGTATGCAATTTCTGCTTTCACAAGTATTATATAATTGTATTATTCCATAATTGTGTATATTATTTTAATGTTGAGCCAAATGTAGTTACTTTTTAAATACAGGGTATATTAGTAGTACAGTAATGGTATACAACGTAGATAATAAAAGCACACATAAAATAATGAAAGAGAGTAAAACATTAATAATTGGCCTCCAAAATGCAAAGTTTAAAGGGGACCTATCATGCAAAATGCACTTTGTGATGTCTTTTATACATGCATATGTGTCCCCGGTGCGTCGGGGAACTCACGCAGCGTCAGAAAATAAAACCCTTTCTCTTTTCCTCCGTACCCAAATCTTTTAAAAACGGGTGTACAACGAGCGGATACAGATTTGCTGCCGATCTGACGTCAAATCGGCAGCGGACCCACAGAAAGTGGCTATCAGAAACTATGCCTGCCATGTTTTGGACATAATCTCGTCTTTGTTTACATTAGCAAGCCTTGCTAACACTTATGGCCCGTCCACACAGCGGCGTGCGTTGACGCTTCACCATTCACTTTGAATGGGGTGACGTTACTTTGCACCGAACTGCATCGTGGGAAGCGACGGGGAGCGTTGCTGGCGTGGCTCGCTGCAAAAGTTGAGCAATGTTCAACTTTTGACGCCTCGGCAGAAGCGTCAGCCAATCGAATCATATGCCAGTACAAGCTCTAGCCAATCAAACCGCTGCTTGTGTGTCAGGGGCGGGAGATTCATGTGATTGGTTGTTGGTCGAGTTTCAGACACGCCCGCCGGCAAGCGTCAACGCACGCCGCTGTGTGGACGGGCCGTTAGAGCTAACCTGTACTGGAGAGCACATGTGTTTAAAAAGCAGGAAATAAAAAAAGAACTGACCTTGTGGTAAACCCGCAAGAGAAAAGGCATTTGAGCTCCATACTGTTTCAGAAATAATCCTTGATGTGGTTTAGAACATGATGGCGTTTTATCACAGCAGAATTTTACTTTATCTCTGGTAGAATTCTGATCAGGCATTAGCTCCGCCTCCTCTTTTATTTTTTCAAGCTAAGGACCTAAAATCCGCGTTTCTCTAACAGGGCTGGAATAGAGGGATGAGGGATTTCTAAAATGCATGATCTGTTTGTATTTTGAGCAAAACACATCACAGACATGTTTTGATATATTTTATATATCTGAGACCCATAATATATGCCTTAAAATAGCATGATAGGTGCACTTTAAGTGAATGCATGAAATGGGAGTATTACAAAAAAGTATTTACTTGAGTACATCGAGTTTGTTATATTCCACCACTGGTGGAACACAATATGAGACCGATTGAAACCTTATTAAATCTATGAAGTCTTAGTTGTCTATGTGTTTATCAATTTAAAACAATAAGTTATTAACCTTTCTTTAGATTTGTTTCTGTGCACAGTATTGCCCCTTCAGCATAACCATGGCCTTAGTATATGGTTTAGAAAAAAAAGGACCATAGTTTTAATGTAATCTTATTTTATTTTGTGAAGCTCTTTGTGATGGTATACAGAATTTGCAACTCTTGTCTTTTATCGCCACAAATGTGTGTTAGTGGACGAGTAGCCAAGGAGGTGATAGAAGCCAGCTCTAAGATAAAGAGAGAGCAACCAGAAGTACGCAGGTAAGCACAAGTTACATTTCACCTACACTCTCTTACAGTTAGTTACCGTTATTAAAGTACATGTCTGTTTACTTATAGTAATACTTTACTACTGAGGGATACAAGTACAAACAGTCTAATAATAATCCATGTATGGGGAACAAAATGTGCAAAAAAGCCTGTGAATTGTGGAGTTATGCTTTGATTACCCAAGACAATACACATCTTTCCTATCACAGAGCAGTCAGTGTATTTTGTTGTGATTTCAGAGCCCAGTTTGGTCAGAGTCGAAGTTATAACTCTTTGAGCCATAAAAACCTCATCATGAACATGGAGCCGCTGGTACCTGCACTGCCCTCCACCAACGAATACGAAGAGACGGCCGCAGACAACGGTAGGATGTTACCGACTCTATCCACACACACACACACATATACACACACACACACACACACACACACACACACACACACACACACACATACCATGTATACATCATTTCAGGGGACATTACATTGACTTACATGCATGTCCTGGAGACTTATCCTAACCTTAACCATAACCAACACATGCCTAACCCTAACCCTTACCCTTAACCTTACCTTAACCCTATTCCTAAACCTAACCAAGTCTTCACAAGTATAGTAATGCTAGGCCACACACACACACACACACACACACACACACACACACACACACACACACACACACACACACACACACACACACACACACACACACACACACACACGTACACACACACGTACACGCACACACACACACACACACACACACACACACACGTACACACACACACACACACACACACACACACACACACACACACACACACACCCTCCTGCCACAGACCTCCGGAAAGTCACATGGGGTCTCCCTTGTGTATGATGCGGCACATGCACATCCCTCGGACAGAAAGCGTTAATTGAGCAGCAGATGCTCCCTGTCTTGTCTCCCTGGAGACACCAATAGCAGCATGCTAAAAATACCCTTCCCATGATCCTCCCTGAGTACACCACCATGCCTCTGTGTGTCTGTGTCTGACTTTGTGTGTGTTTTACAGAGGAAGGTGCACAGAAAGAGAGCAAGCTTGTCTTATCATTAATGAAAACCCAATTAGAAATGAGTTGGTCCCAAAGGAGTCTGTCTCTGTTCACATCCTCGTATTCTCCTGTTTGCACAATATGCAACCTTTTTTCTCCTTTGCGTTACTTTTCTGTAGACAAATTACACACTTTCATGTTTTAGCAGATTTAAAACTTAGCTTAAAAACGTAACCTTAAAGTTAAGATTGACCCGAAACAGTGTCTATTAACCATTAGTGCTATATTACATAGTTCTTTCTAGGAAATGTTTTTGCAGCTAATTAGAGTATTATGTAGGCGTATGTAGCCATTGGGGTATTTCATATGGGATATTTCAGTAAAGCTCTCCATCAGCCCAGCTGGCCTGTCGACACGGGGCTCACAGCTGAACCTGGATTAGTTTCTCCCCATGAGAGGGTAAAGAGTCGGCTCTGATGAGGCAAAACCCAATCAAGCAGCACAGAGCAGTTGGTAGTTAAGGGTTTTTCCCCAGGATACCACCTTCCCCTAGCAGATTTATGTAGTCGATAAAAAGTACTCGCAACGCTGTGGGTTTAAATGTTTCCCCTGTGCCATTTTTCTTTAGCAGGTTATCGTTTTTCTCTGTCGCTTGTTCTCTAAGTTATTAATGCTGACACTCTCTACTGCAACCTATTATCTGATTGAAGCATACATCTTGTTGTAGAAGGAGAAGAAAGCAAGTAGGGAAGAGCACAGGGATTGATTACACAAGACAACACTAGAGCGGAGATGTTAAGAGAGCATTTCAAAAAGATGGAGAGAATACAGGAGTAGAGAAAATAGATTGTAGGGCCTATAGCATGAACTGATGGTGATGGATGTTCTCCACGTCTGTGATTGAACATAGTAGGAGGAAGTAAGGGTTGATGACAGACAATTGGAAGGTTTGATTACGGAAAAATTGGATATAAGAGAAGGGGAAAGAGGCAAGGAAAAAGTGATGTAAAGATAGTGTCTGTCTTCTATTGAGTATGGCAAGGGCATCGTTTCGTTTTTTCAAATTAAGAAAACCAGGTGTTAACAATAAATCAGTTAAAAGTTATTATTCCTTCTGTAAAAAATACTCCACCATCATATATTACTCCCACATCAAAAAATCGTATTTATTAATATGATTTGTGTCCTTTTATAACTATTATAAGTAAAAAACAAACAATCTTGCCGTCAATCGTTGTCAGTGTTCTATTATAAGATGTTTTGTTGCTTCAAAGTTTATGTTTTATATTCTCCAGATGTTTAAGTGCTAATTTTAACATTAATCTCCAGCAGTCCATCATATCCTATAAGATCATCATGGGTTTGAATGGTTGCTGTTCTGTGAGAACCACGTAAAAAGTGGATTTGTTTTTAGTACATAATTTATGGGCTTAGATTTGTCCCACAATTAAATACAAATAAAAGCAATACACAGGAAGTGTATATACACAGTATACACAATGAATATTACAACATTTAATGTAGCCTTACTGTGAAGGCTGACCTAAATACGGTGCTTTTCTACAGATAACCTTACCACTGCACTGGTAAGGTAAAACTAGGCCGATTAATAAGATGTGAAGTGCTTTGAGATCCACAAGCACATTTTTGGTTGACAAATACAAAATGGATTCACAAATGCCTGATCGAAAGTTGTCAATGTTAAAGAGATATTCACTCATTCCTTTTGTTTATTTGTAAATGAATTATAGTATTCACAAATCTTTTTTTTATTTGTGAAAATATTTTGCGTATTTGCAGATCCGTTTTACATTTGCAAATGTATTTGTGAGTTTGCAAATTTTTAAAATGCATTTGTGGATCATGTTTTACATTTACAAATCACATATTTACACACAAATTATTTTTATGTTCACAAAAATATTTATGAGACAGATATAAGCCCATAATAATTATACTACCAGATAAAAAACTGTCGTGTCACCCTTACAAACTGTCGACAGTCGTGATTACTCTCAATTGCTCAATATTTATGTAACACCCGCATTAGAGAAATGCCATCATTTTCAGGGTGAGGAAATCTTGTTGAACATGAATGTTATGTGAACGTGTTTCTAAGCACAAACAGCAGGCAGGGGGAGGTTTGTCACAGAGCCCTCACTAAAATGTACCATTATCTTTATAGGAGGGTATCAAAGTTTACCCCGACACATGCAGAGGAGGTGGCAGTACTGAAGATTCTCCTCATAAACAAAGGCAAAAAAGTGCCTCTAAAAAAACTCTCTGTTGCTTGTCAGTGCCTTGTCACTGTAGACACGTTTCAACAACCCAGTCCAGTTTCTATCATCTATGTTGGCAGCCAAACACAGTTTACAGACATTATTGTGCGTAAATCCAATCAAAACTTTAAACTGTGTGTTGCAAAAAGCCTTGCCACACTACTGAGTTATTGCTGCTGTGTTGTGTCTTAATCCATCCATCCCCTGCACACAGGACTCCACATTTAGTGTTCCCCTCTACTGAAAAAACTGAAACGTTGACTTTAATTAAATGTATTATGTCAACACATTTCACACCACTGTATTAGGTTTGTTGAAAGCAATAATATTAAGTTGAAAATATTTTTTTATTTAAACTTAATATTATTGCTTTCAACTAGCCTAATAGGCTATAGTGAAAACTGTTGACAAAATATACTTATTTAAAGTCAATGTTTCAGTTTTTTCAGTGTCCTCTCCTGTAAACTCCTTCACTCCATCTTTAACAACCCACCCTTTTTCCTCCCTTCCTCCTTACGCCCTCCATTTTTCACACATCGACCCCAGCCCGGCCCTTTAGGCCTTCACATGTAACCATCATGCTCCTGTGCCATCAATCTCTTCAAACTCAATCGCACCTCATCTGACAGGATTTACTGCCGTCGTCTCACTTTCTCCAGCGCTCCTCTTCTCTCATCTTCTCTTCTCCCATTTAGAGGAAAATCAATTCTTCTTGGCTGAGGGTCATAGAGCTGCAGCAGTAAGCATCCCGGCAGTGGGTTGGGTTGGGAGGGGTAGGAGGCAGTCATCAAATCAAGAGCCTCATGCAGGACAGAGGCGGAGTAATGAGACACACAAGATTCAATTTGACAATGCTTTGTTTCCTGCCGCAGTTCCTGCTACTGTTTTATGCTTCTAAAAAAAAATCGTTTTCCTGGGATCTTAAATTTCAAATGTTCTGTTTGAGCCTCATCAGATTTTGATTGATTGACTTCATTTTTTCCCCAACAGTCAAAGCCCCTCGAGTGACGCAGAATATCCAAAGCTAGATGTCTATGCTTTGGTTGCTTTGGTTACTGTTGAACACCTGAATCAAGAAGTAATGCTTTCATATATGGGTTCCCTATACGAGTCTGCTACCGGGACGCCTAAACAGGCCATTTCCTCGTCAATTACTCACCCCTTATTGCCAATTTGAACTTGACATTTTTTGCACTGTTGTTATTTTCCCATGCCTTTGTGGTGAACAAAGAATTAAAGTATGAAGTATCTCTTGTAGTATTATCTAGGTCTCGTTTTTCCAGTATTCCCTCACTACTTCCCAAATGAGATTTATCTTTGACTGCACAAGTTGTGTGACTGTTTGTAAACAGATGTTTTGTGTAGTGTTGCCGTTGTTAAGCAGGCACCATTTCACTGTGGAGGCATGCAAAGTGTTCTTTCAAGTATTCAATATAACCCAGGGTAAGTGATTGAAATACAACTGATCATTTTGGAGTATAGTATCCCTTTGACAAAGAGAGCTACTCAGTGCTCTTAAAATATGGCATATTAACATGTCCATGGTGTTGAGACCAGATGTTCACACCGAAAGGAACAGAAGTATACTGTATGTGTAAGAATAACGAAGCTTTAACATTATGTCGTTACAATCCTTTTACTTTGTCATCTTTGATCAATTGGCCCATTGCTGCATGAAGTGGGTTTGTTTGTCTGATTGTTGTTCCAGAAAGTTACAGAAATCCCCTTCTGGAGGGAGCAGCAATGGGCTCTAATATGGAGATGAGAAAAATAAGCAGGGTTTACATTTATCTCTCCATCACTCGTTTTTACATTTTTCACACAGATGCTCCTGTCACATTTAGTTGTACCACCAAGTGCAACACCATGAACTCAAGTAAAGCCTCCCCATTTGAATAATAATCGTATCTTCTCTGACAGCAGGGTTTTCACACTGCCTTCAGGTGTTGCTGTTTATAACAGATATCAGAACTCTTCTGGCTATAGATGACAGGTTGTTCAAACCAGTTTGTATTGAGCATGTCTCTACTTTTAGACAGTGGGACGTTGACTGT